GAGAGAGAGAGAGAGAGAGAGAGAGAGAGAGAGAGAGAGAGAGAGAGAGAGAGAGAGATCCTGGGAGAAACAAGCCATTGGCCACAATGTTCCTCTCTTGTAGCTTCTGGTTATAGTCCCCCAATGATTATTGTTATCAGCATTTTGCATTTACATCAGGACAGTGTGTCGTCTAGTTTTTGGGTTTTGTTTTTCGGAAGATCTTAACAAGAATATTCATCAAGATGGCTCAGTGGGTAAAGGTGCCTGCTGCCAAGTCTGACAACCTGACAACCTGAACTTAATCCTGAGGATCCACAGGGTGGAGAGAACCAACTCCTCCAAGTTGCTTTCAGTCCTTCACGGACACACACACACACACACACACACACCAAATCAATATTTTAATTTAAAAAATATTTTCTCTGAAAAAAAAGAAAAATATTTTCTTTGAAAAAAAAGAAAAAAAATTGGTGTGTTTTACAAAGGCTCACAGAGGATGCAGAGATGACCTAGTCCTTCGTCCTACTTAGGTTGCCGACATTGATAAAAGTGGCTGATGTCAGTCATTCCGTTCTGTTTGGAAGTTGCCTCCTGCAAGGCTGAACGTGACAAGCCCTGCTAGCTCTGACTGTGTCCTTTCAGTCTCCTGGACTCCAGTTCCTCACTGGAAGGACTTTCCTGATGGGAGTCCAGTTAAGTAGCTTCCTTGTCTTCACATACCAAATCCTCCGATCTCTTCACTGCTTCCCTGACCACCCGAAAGGGGGCTCCGTGACCAGGCACCACCACATCAGCCACACCCAGGATCCTCTCCCGGCTCCGCTGCTGAGCTACTGGGTCTTCGCTCAGGGCCTGCCAAGAGTCCTCGTCCCCAAGGCGCTCGAACACATCGCCAGCCACCACCACGGTGCCCAGGCTGGTGCCCTCCACTACGACGCTCACATCGCGCTGTCCTCCGTGGCCCGGCGTAGCCCACACCTGCAACCCGGAGCCTAGTATCAAGGGCTGCATTTCACACAGCCCATGAGGTAGATAGAGGCCCCCGGGAAGGCAGAAGTCATGGGACACTAAGAGAGCCGCCCGGAGAAACAGCCCTAGGTTCCCGATATGATCTGAATGCCCGTGGGTCCCCACCACCAGAGTCACGTCTCCGGGGACCACGCCCTGCCTAGCGAGGGCTTCCAGCAGCGCCTCCCGAGCCCAAGGGCCCCCGGTGTCCACGAGGATGGGGCCACGCACAGCCTCCTCCAGGGCAGTCTCCGTGCCACCGTCTACGGACGGGGCCATTGGGCGACTGGAACCCGAAGTCCAGGCCCGGGGCAGGACGAGGGTCACAGTGCCATCAGCACGGACCACGTCGCCCGCCCCCTGCGGCTCCGCGTAGCCGCGCTGCAGAACCATCACCGAGTAGGAGTCGCTGGTCGCCAGCAGAGGAGTCTCATCGTGCAGCGGCTCAGTCCGCACTGGACCGCTCATGGCGGACACGGACGTCTGCACAGCCCAATTCTTACGGCAAGCCCCGCCACGCTTTCCTTCTCAACTCGTTGCCACCCCCAGTACTTAAAGTGGTATCGCCCTCCACCCCTTGCCTAAGATGGTATCGCCCAACCCGCCTTTCCACGCGACCTCGCCTACCTAAACTTTCTGGCTCGGGTCCCATTAGGCTTGTTGTAGTCGGTAGGTCTTCACCCATCAACGTTTTAACGATATCTTTTCCCCCCTCATTCTAGCTCTAGCCGTTGACTAATTTGAAAAAAACAAAAAACAAAAACAATCGCTGTCCTTAAATCTTTTTTACTCTGGGAAAAGTCAAAAGTCGGGAATACGGGAAGAGTTTTGCTCTTCACAGGCTTCCGTACAAATTTTGGCCGCTTAAACGCTAGCCACGTTGCTTAATCCTAATCTCTGTGTAGTTTACACCTGTGTTGCACGAACTTCGAATTTTGTTTTTTTTTGTATTTTCTGATACAGGGTGTTATGTAGCCCAGGATGGTCCTGAACTTGTAAGGAAGACCTTAAACTCTTTTTTTTTTATTTAAAATATTTTTTTTTCATTTATTTATTTATTTATTTTTAAAAAATTTCTACTTCCTTCCCTCCTCTGACCTTAAACTCTTGATCCTTTCGCTTCCCCCTCCCAAGTACTGGGATTATAAACGTGTACCTCCACTCTGGTACAGTTGCTTCCCCAACCCCTGCCAGTATCTTTGGGGCCCAAAATTATCAGCACCATTAGCTGCTGATAGACAGCTGGCCAAAGGCTCCACTGTTTTGGTGCTTGGATAATGTGTACATGTTTGAAATGGGGCTCAGTCAAGTCATACAGAAAAGGTTTAATCGCGATATAGAAAATATGGTACTTGTAAAATATGAAATAGATCATATATCTACCCCACCTAACCTATTGGCATTGCTTCCAGTGCCCTGTTCACAGACTGATGACATACAGTCTCATGTTTGGCTTCCCTTTTTGGCTTCTTATTTTGAGAAAGGGTCTTGTGTAGCTCTGGTTGATCTTGAACTGCCATGTAGCTAGATGACGGCTTTGAACTTCTGATATTCTTGCCTCCAATTCTCAAGTGCTGAGATTATAGGGGTTTGCCACCATCAGGTTTTATGTGATCCAATTCACATCCTTGTCCATGCTAGGTAGACATTCTACCAACTGACCTACATCTGTATCCCTCCTCTGGCCTCTTGAACAGGTCAAAATAGACCCCCTTCAAAAAGTAAGGAGACTTTCTCACAGCTCATACCATCACTGACCAATTGGTGCAGGTGAGGACCAAAAAATATAGAGAAAGCTTCAACACTGTCACCACACACATTTGGTCAATTGAGTGGCGGCATGTGGCTCATCTCTGAAGGCAAAACTTGTCCCAGCTTCTTTGCACCTTTTTCTCCTCTCATGTTGCCGTTCTGGGTCCCCAGGATCATGCCTGAGATCATAGGGAAAGGACGGTCACAAGCTTTGGCATGGGGAATGGAGAGTGAGTTTAGAAAACTCCCCATGACCCTTCCTGGGGGTTCAAAGGTCCTCTGGGTCATGCTTGGAATTGTCTGAAGCCTTGGTTATCTCCTCCTCTTCCTCCTCCTCTTCCTCCTCATGCCCATCACTGATCTTCTCCTTTCCAGTCCAGGTTTCCTGTAGACAAGCTAGGTCGAATGAGAGAAAACAATTTCAGGAGTAATGTTGGGGTAGGGGAAGCTGGGAGAAGAGAGGCCCAACCTCTACACTTACCAGTTTCAGAGGCTGGAAGCACATGACCTTTGCAGAGAAAATGCTGCAGGGGCTGCTCCTGATGGTGGAAATACCAGTCTCCCACAACATCTTCAAATTCCTCCAGCATTGTCTCACACTGGGGAAGAGCAGGAAGAGGATCTGCTCAGATGAACTTTGGAAGGCCTCTGCTCTTCATTCCCTGTCTTCCTTCTCCATTGACTGCTTTTCGAGAGGCAGGCAGCCAGAAGGTTATACCTGTATTACTAGATGTGTGATTCTCTTCATTCAACATTTGCCAGTATCTATTACTATCTGATACACAGTATATCTATGCAGCTAGGTGGCAATGTCTGTAGCCCCAGCGGGTAGGTGAAGGCAGAAGGGTCATATATTTAAGCTCGTTCTCAACTACATAGCGAGTTTCAGACCAGCCTGGACTACGTGTAATCCTGTCTCAGAAACTCAGTATGTCTCCAATTATAGCCTGTAAAGTAGGAACTGGTAATCACACCTGTCACATGGGAGTAACACAAGGCAGCAGTGTGTGGCCCAGAACCCAGAACATAGTAGGCACCCAGTAGGCAGTGAGAGGTATTATTAGCGTCACAATATAACTTCTTGGTAAATGGCACTGCCTTCACTCTTTGTCTCCCCCCTGCTCAAAGGTCGACATCCCCCCTGCATTGAGTTCAAGGGGATGTAGCTCTTTTCACCTCCCTGGACAGAGTAGTCCCCCATCCTACCTGCTTCTTGAGGAATGTGACCTCCACACTGGGCTCGTCCCACAGCTCCAGAGGGATCCCCAGATCCACTTTCACTCCCTTCTGTACCAGGCCTTTCAGTGTTGCCATGGTCTGACTCTGACCCTGTGGGATGGAAAATTTGGTATTAGTCCCACCCACCTCACTTCTCCATTTTCACCACATCAGCCCTATCAACTGCTGGAGTCTAGATAGTGTGTTCTGTGAGGGAGTCTGGTTATAATAGGGGGTCAGATTGCCAATTATTCCTCAAAGATCTTCGATGATATAGGTCTCTGTTTCTGAGAAACAGGGTCCTGGGCTGAGGAAGAGAGCTCAGTTGGTAAAATGTCTGAGGACCTGAGTTCAATCCCTAGACTCCGTATTTAAAAAAAAAAGGCATGGCAGCACAGGCTTACAGTTGCACCCTGGAGAACAAACAGGTCAATTCTTTGGGATCTCTGACTAGCCAGCCTAGCTTGCTTAGAAAGTCAGTAAGCTAGTGAAACCCTGTCTCAAAAATCAAGGTAGGAACTGGGTGTGGTGGCACACGCCTTTAATCCCAGCACTCAAGAGGCAGAGGCAGCTGGATCCCTGTGAGTTCAAGGCCAGCCTGGTCTACAGAGCGAGTTCCAGGACAGCCAAGGGTATTAGTAGAGAAGCCCTGTCTGGGGGGGGGGGGGGGGGGGAAACAAGTTGGGTATGGCAAGATGTCTTCATGGGTAAAGGTGTCCCCCACCAAGCCCAGTGACCTGAATTCTATCCACAGGACCCACATGGTGGAGAGACCCAACTCCCACAAGCTGTCCTCTGACCTGAGTAGCGTGTTGTGACACATTTCACACATAAAATAATTACGGAAAAACAAAACAAGGTGGATGGCTCCTGGGGGAAAACGCCCAAAGCTGTCTCTGGCCTCTCTACATGCCCGTGTGCACATACATGAACATACAAGGGCACATGCAAAGACTTGGGGGGAAAGAAAGAAAAGCAGCAAGGCCCTTCCTAGGAAACGCCTGACCTTGGCATATCTCAACGAGCCTTTGCGCTCAGCATGAACACTGTAGTCCAGGATCCGCTCACACAAATTCTCCAAAGCCTCTTCCAATCTTGTCTCGCTGTGGGAACAAGGGAAATAAGACTCCGTGTCAGGATGTGACGTGTCAGGAGCCTGGCAGCTCCCCTGAGGTTGGTTAGAAGGTGGGCTTAGAGACTCACGAAAGGCTATATGGCACGTGTCTCTTCCTCTTGCCGGTGTCTAGCACCTGCCCCAGCTCCAGCACTTCTCGAGATCGACCCGTGCGACTCAGCTCTTCCTGAAGCTCCATGCTCAGCAGCTTACACACTGGTAGTAAGGAGATAACCAAGGGGATGAAGACAAGTGACCCCACCAGCGTCCTTCTGCTCATGATCCAAGGCAGCAGAGCACATAAGCAAACATGCTGAGCCATGAAGACCGGAAGACGAGACTGACTCAAATCTCAGTAGCTGTGTGACACTTGGTGTGTCTCAGCTTCTTCACCTCTAACACGTGGGTGAGACTGTGTCCCTTATAACTGTGTGATGAAAATTTAGGTCCATCAGCATATGTAAAACCCCTAGAGTCGTGTCTGGCATACAGTGAGCATTGTGTAAGTATGTGGTATCGCTCTGACCTGACTCATTGAGCTACTTCTCTATGTATACTAGAGTACAGATAGCATAAAACCCATCGGTATAGTTTGGGACTGTCACGTAAACAACGATGATACAGTGGTAGTGCTCCAGGGTTACAATCAAGAAACCTGTTTCCAGGACTGGTAAGATGGCTCGACAGGTAAAGGAACCCGCTGCCAAACCTAGAGGACCCACATGGTGGAAGGTGAGAACAGACTCCTCCATGTTATTCTCTGACCCGCATACACTGCACATATTTACCCACATATGCCAAAAAACAAACAAACAAACAAAAAACCAAAGAGACTTAATCTCACAGCAAATGGAAAAATACAGAACTCATCAAAGGCCACCTCCTCTACTGTAATAAGGATGGACATATCTTTTCCACTGTTGTCTTCCTCAGTACCTTATCTGGTACAGTAGACTGGGTTCTCAAAGTAAGAGTCTCCCCTAGAAGTGACAAACTACACGGGTAAATAACAATAGTGCTTACTCAGCTACAACCTGAGACACACAGGCACTCCCTTTTCCCTAGGACATGACACAGCAGGTGACAGCAAGGAAGGAGTCCAAAGGAGACATTAAACTCCACAAGAATGGAGAGGAGCTTAGCAAACACAGGAGAGTGGGGTGGGGTGCACAAATTTAACCCCAGGACTCGGGAAGCAGAGGCAGACAGATCTCTGTGAGTTTGAGGCCAGCCTTGTCTACAAAGCGAGTTCCAGGATAGCCAGGACTGTTACACAGAGAAACCCTACCTTGAAAAACTTTAAAAAAGGAAGGAAGGAAGGAAGGAAGGAAGAAAGGAAGGAAGAGAGAGAGAGAAAGAAAAGAAAAAATACAGAAAAGTGGGAAAACAGCGAAGGGCATACTCATTGACTGTGAGAAGTTGGGTGTGTCTGGAGCATAGTCAATTTTAGGATGGGAATGAAATATGAAAGTATAAGGATGGGCCTGGCAGTGGTGGTGCACGCCTTTAATCCCAGCACTTGGGAGGCAGAAGCAGGTGGATCTCTGTGAGTTCGAGGCCAGCCTGGTCTACAAGAGCTAGTTTCAGGATAGGTTTCAAAGCTACAGAGAAACCCCGTCTCGATAAAACAAAAACAAAAGAAAAGAAAACGTGTGGATGTTTGACATTTACAAATACAAGACATTTACAGACCCTGCTCCCCACCCCAGAAGAAGGTTGGCTTAGGGTCTGGGAAACCATTCAGCAAGTAAAATGCTTGCAAGCTTGAGGACCTGAGTTCAGATCCTCAGAACCTACAGAAAAAGTTGGGCAAGGTGGCACTTGTAATCCCAGTGTTTTGAGAAGAGAGCTGACTTCTGTACCTAAGTTCCAGGGGAATGAGAGAACCTGTCTCAAACAAAAGGTAGCCATTTCTCCTGAAGGAATGACACCTGAGGTTGTCCTCTGACCTCTACGTGTATATCACCCAGGCGCATACAAGGGGTCTTTGTCTGACAACAGCAGTGGTAAAGCAAGAGGCCAACATTATGCCTGTGTTAGGAAGATTAAGGAGTTCTAGGAGAGCCAGGCAGTGGTGGTGCACGCCATTAATCCCAGCACTCAGGAGGCAGAAACACACAGATCTGAGTTCGTGGCCAGCCTGATCTACAGAGCAAGTTCCAGGACTACACAGAGAATCCCTATCTCAAAAAAACAAACAAAAAAATAAGTCTTAGGAGAGCAGGGCATGGTAGTGCATGCCTTTAATCCCAGCACTTGGAAAGCAGAGCAGGCGGATCTCTGAGTTTGAGGCCAGCCTCAGCTAGAGAGAAAGTCCCAAGGTAGCCAGGGCTACATAGAGAAGCTCTGTCATGAAAAACCAAAAAAGAAAAGAAAAAGAAAAAAAAAAACAGTCCCAGGAGAAGAGTGGTGCACAGATGCAAAAGATTAGGATCAAATAATGAGTGAGTAACAATGATAAAATGCAGTTGGTTATAAGGAGAAGAGAAAAAGAGTCCAAGAAAAAAGTTAATGTCAGGGAGAAAACAAACTAGGAAACTACAGGGTATTCAGTGACTTGGCTCCTGACTAATACAGCCAGAGACCATGCTGCTTGCTGTAAAATCCCTAAAGTACACCTCAACTGCAAAGCCTCACACCGGTGGTATGGTGTCTCCATCTTTTGTTTATGAGCGTCAGTCACTGACCTACTCACCTTTAAATCCCTGTCATCAAGCCTGTAATTTGCTAGCGTCTCTGCCTGGGCGAGGCACAGGATGTCTATAAGGTATGAACCTTACACCCCACCTATGCAGGCTGTCCAAATTTAGGTCTGGTTAACAAAGCGGGAAACGCACCGAGGAAGATGCTCGGTAGGATCCGCGCTATAGGTTCTGGAACTACAATTCCCACAATCCATTTGGGCCCGAGCCTGCAAGAAAAACCTGGCTCCTTCTGGATGCCGCCTGGGAAATGTAGTGTCATCAGAACCCTGCTTTTTGTTTTTTTTTTCCCCCATCCCTTGTTCCCATTCAAGAGTTACCAAGCTCCAAAAGAACTTCTTTCAAGAGGGTCGAGTGACCCATCTATCTTAGTCCATTTGATCCAGCCTAGAGTTAGAAAAGCAGGAGGTGGGATAGACAGATGCAAATAAGAACAGCTTCTTTTCTATACCTTCGCATTTGCTGGGCAAACGTTCTGTATCATCGTCCTCCTTTTTCGCCGTCTCAGTCCACGCACTGTACGCTACCAGGATGAAAAGCAGTATTTCCAACCGCACAGGTCCCATGACAAAACGCTGTCCACACATACACACAACCACCGTGTCCCTTCAGACTAACTTCTGGAAGGGAGCGGGCCCTTTAAATTTAGACGCAGCGGGCCACAAGCTTTTTTAAACAAAAAAAAAAAAAAATCCGTCGTGGAACGGTCAGCGCATGCTCAGAGCTAGCCCGAAAGTGGGTGGAGCGTCATGGCTCAGGACTTCCCCGCCTCAGTTTTGTGGCGCCTCCTGCAGGTCCTGGCAGCTGGGTATTGAAGACACAGATTTAAGTAATTAGAATATAATAATATCATCTTTACACATCTACGTAGAATGTAAATTTTGTATAATTTAAGACCGTGAGACGAGATGATCTATTTTGACGTACGGAAGAGCAGCGATAAGCTCTAGGCTTCTGCCAGGACCTACTCCTGCCAGGGGGCGGGGCCAAGATGGCGCCGAGCGCCGGGTGAGCGGCGCTTTGGCAGCGGTGAGAGGCTTTTACTGCTCCCAGTGCTTGGCTGGCGGGGGAAGGTGTGAGGTGTATCCGTGAGGAGACCCTTTGAAAGGGCCCATGTGAGAACTGGGAAGAGGCCGGTTGGTTGTGTGTCCGTGCTCGTGGGGACTCTGTGCGTGTTTGCACTGGAAGGATGTTGGGGAGATGTAGTGGATTGTGAACCTCCTGTAGCGCTGCCGGGGGAAATCTTCGAATCAGTTCTCTTCTGAGGAAAATGGTGCACAGATCTAGCTCAAATTATCCGCCCTCTGAGAAGTCTTCCTGTCGCTTCCACTGATCTGAGACGCTCCTGAGGCTGTTAGAGTGTTTTATGAACCCTAGTGGCAGAGGGTACCGCAGGGGACTGGGACACGACTACTTCTTGTATACTGACACCAGGTACAGAGTATGTGCTGAGTAATTGTATTCCCTGTAGACAAGAGTTAACAAAAGTCTGAGAAAACGTGGGATGGCTTGAAAAGAACCAGTGCCCTTTGGCCTCTTTTCCCTCGTCTCCCTAGCGCTCAGTTCTGAACACTCCTGAGGTTGCTCTTCCTCATGTCCAGTGTCAGGCAAGCGCTTTTCCTTTGGCCACAGAGTAAACTCTAAGCTTGAGTCTGTGTCTTTTTCATTTTGGAAATTGTTGTACCAAGTATTTAGAGAACACTTACACCTTTAAGACTTAAAATCCATTTATTTTCACCATGTCCCAGGTACCAAATAGGTCAGTAAACATAACAGACATTCCTGTCCACTGGTGAGATCGGGATGATAAACAAGAAGAAATGATAGCTGAACTTGATGCTGCACAGCTGTAAAAGGCAGGAGAATCTCAATTTCAAGACTACAGAGAGAGTTCCAGACAAGCCTCAATAACTTACTGAGTCCCAGTTTAGCGGGGTTGTTTAACATGTAGAAGGTCCTAAATTTTATATATGTATATATATATATATATATATATATATATAGTTAAGATCAGTGTTGTCTCCATAGTGAATTTGTAGGCCAGTCGGGACTACATGAGACCCTGTCCCTAAAGGGGTGGGGTCATGTAGCCAAACTCATTTGTGAAGACATCAGCAAAAGCTATAAAACCAAGGGCATGTCTGTCAGATGTAAAGGACAGCAAGGAGAATGGTATGACAGAATCAGTGGGAGAAGGAAGGATAGATAATCAGAGATATGATGAGAGGAAGAAAATTGAAAAGAGAAAAAAACACTTTAGACAGGAACTTACTGCATGGCCCAGGCTGGCCTCGAACTTCCTGTCTCCCTACTTCAGCCTTCAGAATGCTGGGATTACAAGTGTACCCTATGTAGGGTCTCACTCTGAAGCATATCCTGGTATGATACACAGGGGCAGTCCAACACCTGGACAGAACACATTTTGGTTTGTTTTTGATTTTGTTTTGTTTGAGACAAGTTTCTCTGTATGTAGCTTTAGAGCCTGTCCTGGAACTAGCTCTTGTAGACCAGGCTGGCTCAAACTCACAGAGATCCGCCTGCCTCTGCCTCCCGAGTGCTGGGATTAAAGGCGTGCGCCACCACACCACCCAGCTACAGAAGACATTTTGAAGGGAGGGTTTGAGGAGGGTTTTGGAAGGGTTTTATGGCAAAGGGGCAACAATTACAGCAAAGAGATGGTAAACTAGACTGTATTTCGACAGCAGCACTTTGGTTTTAAGGAGTAAATGCAGGGAGGCTCAGATGGAAACACGAACACCTTGTCTAGGGACTTTAGATTTCAGCAGGTGATAGGTGATGGTCACCTGGGCCAAAAAGGGTTTGATTGGGCTGTCTGGTTTTGAAACAGTGCTGGGAATCAAACCCAGGTCCTTGTGCATGCCAAGTACTTTACCATTGAGCCACATTCTCCAGCCCTGACCTGGTGGATTTGATTCAAGGGTTCAGATGAGAATGAGGTGTGCTGGGTGTGATGATACATGCCTATAGTCCCTGCACTTGGGAGGTATAGATAGCCGTATCAGGAGTTCAATTTCAACCTTGGAGTAGGAGGCCATCCTGGGCTACAAGAGGCCCTACTTAAAAGAAAAAAAAAAAGCCAGATAGTGATGGCCCATATCTTTAATCCCAGCACCCAGGAGGCACAGAGCAAGTTTCAGGCCAGCTAGGGCTACACAGAGAAACCCTGCCTCATAGAAAGAAAGGAAAATACTAGTGTGGAGATGTAGCTCAGTTGCTGAGAGTATTTGCCTAGCAGACACAAAGCTCTGGGTCCGATCCCCAGCACCACACAAACGGGGTATGGAGGTGCATGACTATAGTCCCAGCATTAAGAAGGGTAAAGGTAGAAGGATCCAGGCTCAAGTCTATCTTGTGTTGCAAAGATTGAAATTAGGCTAGGCTACAGTAATTCTATCCCCAAAAGACAAAACAAACCAAATTGTCACTAGTCATAGCAGTGCTTGAAAAGCAGAAGTGGAAGCCGGATGTAGCACACACCTTTAATCCCAGCACTTAGGAGGCAGAGGCAGGTCGATCCCTTGAGTTCAAAGCCAGCCTGGTCTACAAAGCAAGTTCCAGGACTTAAATAGAGAAGCCCCGTCTTGAAAACGAGAGAGAGAGAGAGAGAGAGAGAGAGAGAGAGAGAAAAGAAAGGCAGAAGCAAGCTGGAATTGGAAGTGTCTGGGCTACATAGCCCCTGTGTCCAAATAAATGAATAAATAATGAAAGGACAAGCCAAGTTGTTGGGTGATAGCATTGTTTAGAAGATGAGCTGAAGTTGAAGCAAGTTGAAAGGGAGCTCAAGTTTAGGTTTTGAATTGTTTTTCTTTTTATCTTGCCCCATCCCATTACCAGTGGCTCCACCTCTCCGCCCTGGGGTGGCATCCTTCCAGGGACAGGAGTTGGAATTCCAGCATGGCCGAAGAGAAGAAGCTGAAACTCAGCAATACTGTATTGCCTTCTGAGTCGATGAAGGTGGTGGCAGAATCCATGGGCATTGCCCAGATTCAGGAGGAGACTTGCCAACTACTGACGGATGAGGTCAGCTACCGCATCAAGGAGATTGCTCAGGTAATCCTTCTGCCCAGCCTTGCTCTGTGTTAAAGATTCAGCTTACTAGTTACTGAGGCTAACCTTGAAGTTCTGATCCTCCTGCCTCTGCCTCCCACTGCTGGGACTGCAGGGTGTGCCACCATGCTGTTTATGTGATGCTGGGCATTGAACTCAGGTCCCTGTGCAAGCTAGGCAAGTGCTTTACTCACTGAGCTATATTCCGCAGGGTCTTAGATTAACATCTCTTCTCTTCCCAACCCCTAGGATGCTTTGAAGTTCATGCACATGGGGAAGCGACAGAAGCTCACTACCAGTGACATTGACTATGCATTGAAGTTAAAGAATGTGGAGGTGATTTGGAGGGATTCAAAGGGGACAGGAGGCTTCAGAGTGGGGAGACAATGCGCATGTAGCCATGCCTCCCTTGGCTATTTCTCATGTCCTTCTCTGTCTCTCTACCAATATAGCCACTGTATGGCTTCCATGCTCAGGAATTCATCCCTTTTCGTTTTGCCTCTGGTGGGGGCCGGGAGCTCTACTTCTATGAGGAGAAGGAAGTGGACTTGAGCGATATCATCAACACCCCTCTGCCTCGGGTGCCTCTGGATGTCTGCCTCAAAGGTGGAGGGAGGGTAGAGCTGGGTGCGCAGGGAGGAGGGAAAGGAGGCATGTGACTGGGAGGAACTGCACAAGTGAAGAACAAACATCCAGTGTGAGATCCTGGTGAATGGCAAGAATGGGACCAGGAGGGAACACACACCTTCCTTCGTATGGGGTGACTTCCCAGTGTCCATGCCCACTAACTCAGCTTCACATCTTCCTTACAGCCCATTGGCTGAGCATCGAAGGCTGCCAGCCAGCTATACCAGAGAATCCACCCCCAGGTAACATTTTCCATGCCCAGCGCCAAGCCTCCTTACTCTCTCCTCGTCCTTGGTCCTATGGGGCTCCTCCTACCTTTTCATCACTTCTGTGACCACCTTCCCACCAGCACCCAAAGAACAGCAGAAGGCTGAGGCTACAGAACCCTTGAAGTCAGCAAAGCCAGGCCAAGAAGAAGATGGACCCCTGAAAGGCAAAGGTCAAGGGGCAGCTGCAGCTGATGGCAAAGGTCAGGATTCAGGCCAGGCCTCTTTCTACTCTTATCCCAGACCAGATGGTCTTCAGTGAAGGGGTTGAGGTCATGGATGAAGGAACCCCAGAAAGGCCTAGAAGCCTAGAGAAGGGTTACATGTTACAGTGAGGGTTTGTCCTGTACAGAAGCCTCTTCTGGAGCTTACCTTTTTGGTACATGTGTGTATACATGTGTATGTGTGTTACCAACCAGAGGATCATCTTAGCTGTCAAGTCCTCATGTGCTGTCTACCTTGGGTTTTTTTGTTTGTTTGTTTGTTTTTGAGACTGGGTCTCAGTGTCCTGGAAGTCTTTAGTTATGCTAGCCTGACTAGCCAGCAAGTCCCAAGGATCCTCCTGTCTCCACCTCCCCAGCGCTGGGATTACAAGCATACACTACCATGGCCAGCATTTTTTATTTTTTTTAATGGGTTCTGGCCATCGAACTCAGTCCTTGTGCTTATAAGGCAAGCACTTTACTGAGCCAACTCCCAAGCCTGAGCTTTCTTTTTTAAGCCTGTCTCCCCAACTCACACAGGAAAAGAGAAGAAAGCACCTCCCTTGCTGGAGGGAGCCCCTTTCCGCCTGAAACCCCGCAGCATCCATGAGCTGTCTGTGGAACAGCAGCTGTACTACAAGGAGATCACAGAAGCCTGCGTGGGATCCTGTGAGGCAAAGAGAGCGGTAAGCCTGCCCTCTGGCCTGCCTTCACTGAGGGAAGTTTTCCTACAATAAACCGTCTCACCTGACTCATTGCCCCTCCAACAGGAAGCTCTGCAGAGCATTGCCACCGACCCAGGACTCTATCAGATGCTACCACGATTCAGTACTTTCATTTCTGAGGGGGTGAGAGAACTGGAAAAGGCCAGAAAGGGGGTGGTAAGGGGAGTCTGTCTGAGGGGTCTCTCTGTGCCCCCATCACCACCACCACTTTTCCCTCTCCTAGGTCCGTGTGAATGTGGTTCAGAATAACCTGGCCTTGCTCATCTACCTGATGCGCATGGTGAAGGCCCTGATGGATAACCCCACGCTGTATCTAGAGAAATATGTGAGTGGTCTTGCCTACCTCCTGTCTTTTCCAAGGTCAGAGCCCCATTCTGCGGACTGCTCCACAGGAGGTCAGGTATCAAAACTGGCTGACATTGCCTGGTTTCAATCAGGTGCACGAGCTGATTCCAGCAGTAATGACCTGCATTGTGAGCAGACAGCTATGCCTGCGACCGGATGTGGACAATCACTGGGCACTCCGGGATTTTGCTGCCCGTCTAGTGGCCCAAATCTGTAAGCATTTCAGCACAACCACCAACAACATCCAGTCTCGGATCACCAAAACCTTTACCAAGGTGAGTGCCAAAAATGTATCAGATGCTCAGATAATGCAAATCTCTCCTGTAGGGTTATCTCCAGGAAAGAAAGAGCTTCACCTATCTGGCAGTGGAAAGATACCCAGAACATAGGGCAGAAACTGAAGCCAGGGTGATTGGGTCCAAAGGACTTGAGCCTCCGTGTCTAAGTGCTGATAGGTGATATTAGTCCTTAGCAGTTAGCCTTTTCTTTTTTGAAACGGGGTGTCATGTATTCCAGGCAAGCCTTAAACTCTGTATAACTGAGGATGGCTTCGAACTTTGTTTTGTGAGACTGGGTTCCTCTGTGTAGCCTCCAACTCAGAGATCTGCCTGCCTCTGCCTCCCAAGTGCTGGGATTAAAGGTGTATGCCACCACTACCTGGCAGCTTTGAACTTCCCATCTTCCTTTCTGTACCTCCTGTGTGCCAGGATTCAGACATGTACCACCAGGCCTGGTTTAAAGTCTTCTCATCTGGAGTTTTCTTCTTTCTCTACAGAGCTGGGTAGATGAGAAGACTCCATGGACAACTCGATATGGCTCCATTGCAGGCCTGGCAGAGCTGGGGCATGATGTTAGTACCCAGGGCGAAGAGCTAGGAGAGGGGTGGTTACATGTGGAGTGGGAGAGCCCCCTGGTGACCTTCTAGTCTGGCTTCTCCCCTTCCTTCCCACAAGGTGATTAAGACACTGATTCTGCCAAGGCTGCAACAGGAAGGGGAACGGATCCGCAGTGTCCTGGATGGGCCTGTGCTGAGCAACATTGACCGTATTGGAGCAGATCATGTGCAGAGCCTTCTCCTGGTGACGAACCCCTGCCAAGCCCTCCCCTTTCCCAGCAGTCCCACACCCAGCTCCCACAAACACAGCTACAGTGTTTAGCAAGCACGAGGCACATCTTAACTCTTTTACTCTTCAGAGGCCAGCACTGTGGTGCACATGAAAAGCTAGACACAAACAGAAACAGAGGCCTTAACTTAAGAAGTTCCTAACTTCTGGACTGCACTGCCTTCATCCTGCTGTCTCACCCTATACAAGGCTCATGAGCACCCCACGTAGGTCGTCACTAGATACAGCAAATCCTTTTCATACCAGCTGATCCCTATGCAAGGAAACAGTCTTTAGGTTTTTTTTGTTGATGCCTACAGATGGAGTCTTGTGTTGGCTAGCCTGGAACTTATGAGGTAGACTATGCTGGCCCTGTGACAATCCTGTTGCCTCTGCTTTCTTGAGTGCTGAGATTACCGGAGTGTACCACCACACCCACTGAAATCCTTTTTATTTTATGAATGTACACCGTGTGTACAGGTGCCCACAAATGCCAAAGGAAGGCAACAAGATGCCTGGAACTTGAGTTCCAGATGGTTGTGAGCAACCAACCTCTGGAAGAGCAAGCATTCTAAACCTCTGAGCTCCACCTCCAGTCTCCCATTTCCTTTTTTTGTGTGTTGTATGTGCTGCTGGGAATTGTACCTAGGGCCACATGCCTGTTTCCACAATGCTCTACCACTGAGCTATATTCTCCTTGTCCCCCGCCCCCAGCATACACAACTTTGAGACATTCCATCCACCCAAGTTAGCCCAAAATTCTCTTTATAGCTCTGGCTAGCCTAAAACTCAGATCTTCCTGCTTCAGCATAAATGCTGGGACTACAGGCAGGAACCACCACACCCAGCTCAGTTCACTGTGGCCTCTAACTGTAGCGGTGGGTGAGCCCCTCTCACATTTGCTGCAGAGTACCAGCCTTACTTTGCCGTCTCTGCAGAAACACTGTGCCCCAGTACTGGCGAAGCTGCGCCCTCCACCTGACAATCAGGATGCCTACAGGGGAGAATTTGGGTCCCTTGGGCCCCTTCTCTGCTCCCATGTGGTGAAGGCCAGGGCCCAAGCTGCTCTACAAGCTCAGCAAGTCAACAGGACCACTCTCACCATCACACAGGTCAGCTGCTGAGGGAGGAGCTGCACAGGATTGTGCAGGTTTGGGACAGGACTTGCCACAGCCAGCAGTCCAGGGAGCTTGACCCTATTCCTACCCCCAGTGAAGAGCTAAGAGCAAGCACAACCCAGGTCTCCCTTCAATGGTGACATTTTCTTCCTGTCTCTCTTCATAGCCTCGGCCCACGCTGACCCTCTCACAGGCCCCTCAGCCAGGCCCTCGTACCCCTGGCTTATTGAAGGTCCCTGGCTCCATTGCCTTGCCTGTCCAGACACTGGTGTCTGCTAGAGCTGCTGCCCCTCCTCAGCCTTCTCCTCCTCCAACCAAGTTTATTGTCATGTCCTCATCTTCCAGTGCCTCATCAACTCAGCAGGTATGTGGGGCTGGGTGAAGGATGTGAGGGGCACCTGGGGAAGCCTCCCAAGTGGAGGCCTAATTCTTCCAGGCCCAAACTCAGAAGGTAGGAGGGCCTCTGGTCAGGATCTTAGAGGGTTCAAGCTAGCAGCACTCTCCTGGATCTTGATCCTTCATTGGGAGCAGAAGGAAGCAAGAACAGCATGACCAAGGCCTTCCAGGTGTGAGGTAGACAGCACACAATCGCCTTGCCTTCCTTTCTCCCCCAGGTCCTGTCCCTCAGCACCTCAGCTCCTGGCTCAGGCTCTACCACTACCTCTCCTGTCACCACCACAGTTCCCAGCGTGCAGCCCATCGTCAAGCTGGTCTCCACTGCCACCACAGCACCCCCAAGCACAGCCCCTGCTGGTCCTGGCAGTGTTCAGAAATACATCGTGGTCTCCCTTCCCCCAACAGGGGAAGGCAAAGGAGGACCCCCTTCTCATCCTTCTCCAGTCCCTCCTCCATCTTCCTCACCATCCCCACTTGGGGGCAATGCCCTCTGTGGGGGGAAGCAGGACGCTGGAGACAGCCCTCCTCCAGCTCCAGGGACTCCAAAGGCTAATGGCTCCCAGCCTACTGGACCTGGCTCCCCTCAACCTGCTCTGTGATAACGATAACGTCATATCTGCTGACCTCCTCTTCTGCGGAGTCCTACATGCACAAAAAATGCGTGAGGGAGGAGGGAGTAGTAGGCTGTTTCCCCCAGTGACTTTCTTTTTAGATACTGTACAGTAAGTTCCTCAGAATAAAAGCTGGATTTGTAAGTTTGTGAGCCTCTGTGCATCACATACAACAGAAAGGGTGAGTCCGTGGAACCTTCCTGGTCTTGGGATTCTTCTGTCCAGATCCAAAGACACAAGAAAGCAAATGTCCTTTTCCTGTTCAACTGCCCGCTGCTGACTTTGCTGTCCATATCCTTGTTTGGGGAGCTTCAAATCCGAATTACGTAGGCATTGCTGTGGCTCAGGTGTCGTACCCACTTATGAGGGTTGGCACTACCACAGGTGCTAAAGGACAGCCTAAGGAAGCGAACCTGGAGGCCAGAGCATGTGTGCCGAGGGAGTTCAAAGGAGAGGCTGGCAGGACCCAACCCCAAGGGGGCTGCCGAGGGAGAAGGCCCATGGCTGGGAGGCCCCTGTGAGCCAGGGACATCCATCTGTAAGGAAAACAGAAGATGTGAGGCTAGGTAGCTACCTGGTACCAGGACTAGGCTATTGCCAAAGGTGCATGAGGATGGAAAATGCGTACCTGAAACAGGCCTGAGAGTTGAGAGCCTCCTTGTACCCGGGGCAGGTCCCAGTGGAGGGCTCCTTCTCCCAGTTCTGCTTTTTGATCTGGGCTGCTCAATTCCTGAGACAGGCTGGAGGGTGGACAGGGAAGATGCTGAACTAAGTGGCTACTTCCTTGGTAGAGCAGAGGCTCCACCCAGGAAATCTTCCCAGCAAGCACGCTGACCTGACTACCCCCCGAGGCAGGGGAAGGTGCAGATGAATGTTGAGAGCTTGGCTGCAAAGAGGAAAAGAAGAGTCAGCACCAGGATGGCAGTGTCTTACCCTGTTTGTATTGTACTTGAGACAGTCTTAAGCAGTTGAAGATGGCTTTGAACTTCTGATTCTCTTTCCTCCAGTGCTAGGATTGCAGGTATGCACCATTACACTTAGTGTGGTGCTGAGGACCAGGGCTTTAGCCATGCTGAGCAAGCACTCAACACGTCTATCTCCATCCCCAGCTACTGCTGTTCCTCCTAATGTCCCAACAGGAGTTCAGCACAGATGCATTCCCTTCTCTAACACTTTCCCAAATGCCACAACCTCGGACTCAAGTGGAATTTAAAGTTGGTGGATGCAAACACTGGTTTGTTTTGAGATGGAGTCTCTCTGTGAATCCCAGACTGGCTTCACATTGGTGATTCTCTTGCCTCAGCCTCCCAACTGATGGGATCACAAATACACACCACACTTTTAGTAGGCCCATCTGCAGGAAGAATTACTGGGCCTTGGCCCTGTTTCCTATCCTATACAGTTGAACTGGGCTTGAGTAACACCACTCTTTTGTATCTTGTTTTTTGAGACAGGGCTTTATGGAACCCAACTTGGCCTCAAACTCCTTATGTATTTGGATTTGACCTTAAACTCCTGATCTTTCTGTCTCTATCTCCCAGGGGCTGGGATTATAAGTGTGTGCCCCCATGCCCAATTTAACCAGCCCCAACTCTTACCTCTTTGGGGGTAGGTCACACCGTAACTTCAGGTAAATCTGGAGCCTGGAAAAAGGTGGCATACAATTACTTACATTGTACCCTATTGGCATTCCATCACTGCTTATTCAGGGCCTCCATGGGAGGCTGTCTAAATTGTACCCCAAGAAGAATAAGGGCTGATATCCACCCCAATAACACTAGCCAATACTTTTTCCAACCTGTGCCCTATCATCTCTACTGCCACCCTTCCATATTAACCTTAACCCTTCAAGATTAAGCCCTGGTTTAGAGGAGTTCGAAAACACAGGAGCAAGTCTCACCGGCCTGAGCCTCGGTCCCACTGTACAGAGGGAAAGAGCCGGAAGGGGAGTGGTGAGGGGAGGTCATCAGAGAGCTGGTATCTCATCACAGTCAGCTGAGGCCAGAGAGGAAGAGGTCAGCGTGGCCCTGCACTGGCACCGCCTCCCTCCCCTCTGCTGAGTGGATAATACCAGGCCACCCTGAACCTGACCTCGCCCTGAGGTGGCTGCAGGCGGAGGATCCGATGAGACTCAAACTCATCTAGATTGACAGAGCTATGGAATGACACCTCATCAACTCGAATTCCTGGCCCATAACCTGCAAAGAAAAAAAGGTAGCTCTCCTGACCTGTGTTCAGAAGGGAAGAGACATTTCCAACGCTTCTCCATATTTTTGGAGAGAAAAAAACTCATGCTCTCCTTACCTCTCAGCTCTGACTTTCCCACACAAAATTCTTCTGTCAAGCCAATGTACATCTCTGTGGTAAAAAAGGACATGAGAAAAGGGGATCAAATACCACTGCACACATCACCAGGAAGCCTGTACCACACTTAACCATGGGTCCTCACCAGAACCGCTCGGAAGGAAGCTCTTGAGCCGTATCTCTCCTTGGACGTCCACCTTCAACAATGAGCCCTGGTGGGTGGGAAGGAAGTTAAGACTTCATCTTCCCCAAGTACCACGGCCCTTCAACTCCAGGGGTGGGAACCCAGACTTACATTAGATGCGATCAGTACAGACAGCCTCTCGACCACATCTAAAAACACTTCATTCTTTTGGCTCTAAAAGAGAGGAAGTAAGTAGTAGAGACTGAAAACCTGTCCTAAAATGGATAGGCAACGTCAGGCACGGTGACACATGCCTGTAATCCCAGTGATTAGGAAGCCAAAGTAGGAGGACTGCCATGAATTCAAGGACAGCCTGGGTTACAATGTGAGAGCCTGACTTACCAGATGTCTCAAAAAACAAAAGAACAGGGACTACAGAGATGGCTTGCTCAGTAAAGCGCTTGCCATGTGAACATGACAATCTGAGTCTGATCCTCCAAATCCATGTGAAAGTCAAGTGTGGGAAAGTGAACCTATAATAGCTACACTAGGCGGTGAAGGTGAAGGTACAGTCTCCAAGGCTCACTGACAGGCCAGTCAGCCCAGTCTAGTCAGCAAGCTCCTGGCTAATGAAAATCCTGCCTCAAAGGAGGTGAATGGCGCTCCCGAGGATGACATCAAAGGCCTGGTCCTTTGGCCTCCACAAAATGCATGCACAGCATATATACATATACACACATAAAATAAAAGAGGCAGTAGAAGAGACAGGATAGTTGAAGTAGAGCCCTGGAACAGAAACCCAGGGATAATGGAAGGAATACCATGTCAAAGGAACGAAAAGATAAGCAAGTTCTTGGACTCTGAGGTGTTAGGACAAAAAAAAAAAAATCAATTCTGGCCCCACTGATCTTACCTGGTCAGAGCGACTGGACAAGACTGGACGACTGGCAGCACTGCTTGGGGCCACTCTGTTCTGCTGTGTCTCTGCCCCAAACTGTAAGGCATCCAAGGCAATCAATCCTCAGCTTTGATGCTCATAGCCAACCCTCCTGGTCCCTCCTCTTTCCCTGCCACTGACCAATCCGACGCTGCTGAGGTCAAAGAGACTGAAGGGCTTGCTGACCACAGCTTCAGTTTGGATGAAGTTCCTCAGCATTTCCGTGGATGTAGTCTGCACATAGCCATAATCCTAATGGACAGAGAAAGTAAAATGGAGTAGATTTAACCTCCTAACCACAAAACACTATGATAGAAGAGAGGACATTTTTTTCAGGTAGCAGGGAACAAGAGAGGGAAGTCCTTGGGACTGGGGAGATGGTTCAGTGGGTAAAGGACTTGCTGAGCAAGTGTGCAGACCTGAACTCAATCTCCAAAACTCAAGTTAAAAAACGCTGGACATGATAATGAGCCTCTGTAATCCCAGTGTTCTCACTAGAGATGAGGATGGAGACAGGAGAATCCAGAAAGCTTGCAGGCTAGTTTAGTGTGCGTGCATGGCAGAACAAAGAGACCTTGCCTTTTTTTCTTTTTGTCTTTCCCTTTCTTCTCTCCCCGGCTCCCCCCAATTTTCCAGACAGGATTTCTCTGTGTAGCCCTGGTTGTCCTGGAACTCACTCTGTAGAACAGACTGGCCTTGAACCCAGAGATTGACCTGCCTCTGCCTCTCCAGTGCACCACCACACACACCTGACTCCTTTTACCTGACTCCTTTTTCCAATTTTTTTGAGATAAGATCTCACTATGTAACCATGTAACCCTGGCTGGCCTCAAACTCATTATGTAGACGATGCTTGCCTCAAATCCATCTGCTTCTGGGTGCTGGTATATATTTGTTTATCGAGACAAGGTTTTTCTTTAGCTTTAGAGCCTGTTCTGGAACCCGCTCTGGACAGGCTGGTCTCAAATTCACAGAGATACGCCTGTGTCTGCCTCCCGAGTGCTGGAATTAAAGGCATGCACCACCACTGCCTGGCTGGGTGCTAGTATATTAAAGGCATGCACCACGGTGACTAGCAAAGGACTTTGTCTTGAACAGGTAGAAGGTAAGGACCAATACCCAAGACTGTCCAAAAAAAAGAGAGAAAGAGAGGGACCCTGTAAGATGGCTCAACTGATAAAGGTGCTTGCTACTAAGTCAGCCAACCTGAGTTCAATCCCAGGGACTCCAGAAAGTTGTCCTCTGAACTCCACACACGTGCAGTGGGCAACCACATACATACATAAAGTAAATTTTGAAAAAGAGGACAATCTTTGGGCTTTACCAGCACTTCATCCAGGAGTTCGTAGACAAGAGCCACATTCCGTGAGATGGTTCCCTCACTGAGTGAGCCACAGTAGTCACCCAGGAGAGTGGCTAACCTAAAGAAACACAGGTGAGAACGTATGAACGAATAAACTTCGCAGGCCCGCTTTAGGTGTCCGTCCCAGCCGTACTCACCGGGAAAGTAGCTCCAGGAGGCAGAAAGGAGAGACGTTTTCGGAGGTTGTGGCCACCAAATAGAGACCACTGTGTCTGATGTGAATGAAATGACGATCGTCATGATACTGAGGCGGAGTTGGGAAGAGACCAAAATTAAAAGACCAGAATTGCAGTAATGTGGTCCGCGAGATGGCACTCTAAGATCGCTACTAGTGATGTAGATAGTGTGATTTGGGGCGATCCCTGAGACCTCTCAAAGATCTGGCCTCCTAACGTGTAACCTACCTCGCAGAGTTGTTGACAGTCGCGAGATGGGGGAGCAAGGCTCCGTTTCTGGCGTCTTGTTAGCACTCAATACATTTTTCTTACCTGGGGAAGCGCACCCCCTCCCCTCCCTGGAAGCTTTCTATCAAGCAGCCCTTGAAAGGGAGAGATGAGGCACCCACCACACTCCACACTCCTAAAGCCCTGCTCGCCCGCCACGAGTGGTTACCATGACAACCGGGGACTCGCCTCCAGGCAGTCCCGTCAGCTTCCGGTAAAAGAGCTCGGCCACATCACGACCACCACTGTCCCCGCGAACTGCAAGGGTAGTTAAGGAGCAGGCGACACAGGATGACTCTGGGTTCGATTTCTACCAGCTACTCCTCCCTGTCTCGCGGGTCAAGGATACAGTCTTTGTAGATGAGCGGGTCCCCCTTGGAGGACAGAATGAAGAACTGGGAAATCATGGCCGTTCTGGAGGACAGACAAGAAGACGGTGAAAGTTGAAGCCACCCCGCCCTGCAGTCGCGGAACAAAAGGACGCACGGAGGCTGGCGCTTTAAGAAACACTCCTCCCACACCCACACTGGCAAGCAGTAATTTTGAACCGCGGGAAACCCGGGGCCCAACCCACCAGGGTCTGGCAATCTTCCTCCGGCCCGCCCTCTTGTCGCTTGTCACTCAACCCAGTCTCGGACAGTGATTGGTTAAAATTGGGTGCCGGCAGCGGTTGGGGGGCACCCTCCTGATTGGTCGGTACTCAGCGGCATGGGTCACGTGAGTGACGACGTTTCGCGCCAATTTCGGTTGGTCGGGCTACTTCGCCCCGCGCGCTCGGTCTCTGCTTCCCCAGAGTGAGACTTCTCAGTTCGCCCGCTCCTGTCGCACGGTCCCCGGCAGCGATGGCGCTTAAGGACTACGCGGTCGAAAAAGGTGATATGCTCTAGGGCGGGGAGCGGCGTTCTTCGAGGGAAACTTCTCTACCTGCACCTGTTTGGGGGAGCTGGGGTCTTGGGGGCAGCTGGGATCTGTGACTCTGGAAATAGGCGGACTGCGCCAGGAACAAGTGTAGTGGGCATCAGAACGGGAGCAATCCTGCTTGGAAAAGGTGATGTGGTGGTGTGACGGTGAGGACCCAGCGGAGGCCACGGAGAGGAGGGGCGCTCCAGAGAGACACTGGTTGACATTGAACGTTCCTTCCGTGGCCTGAGGGCCCGGAAAACCGGGCCTGCCTCTGCGCTTTGGGGTGCTAGAGAATTCCCGCGCCCACTCGAGACGCGCCGGGGTTCGGAGGCGGGGCTTGACAGGCCGCTACGCGCCGGGATTGGTTGTTTCAGACCGCCCTCCAAGCGGAAGTAGAGGCGGGCGGAAGTGGCGCTGCTCCGTCGGAGGGAGTGTCGTGTGTAAACAGTGTCCTTCCGCGCGGTGGCCTTATCGGTAGCTGCCGTGGGTAGGGGCGTGCCTGGGGTTGGGAGGCTGAGCGCCCGGCGGCGAGAGGTGGCAGTGAAGTGGACCCGAGTGGCCCTTTGGTGTGCTGGCCAATCGCCGCGCGGCCACCCGCCTCAGGCGGAGGAATCCTGGGCTGTGAGGCGGCTGGAATCCGGGCCCATGTGCTTCTTTGTTTACTAAGAGCGGAAGCAGTGGCGGGAGCGGGGTGTTGGGTGCCGAGGAGGCCTAGTGGCGGACGTCCTGGCGGGAGCAGAAGAAAAAGAGTTGTCCTGGTGGAAGAGAGCCCAGTCTTTAGAGTCGATTGTGTGAGAGCTGAGAGAATTAAAGAAAAACAGATTACTAACTAAGGCAGTGAGTGAAAATCTCTTGGGGGAATGTTGGAGTAAGACTCTTGTAACTGCCCGGGGACCTATCTTCCCCAGGAAAGAGCAGACTTGTGAAAAGGCGTACTGCCTACTTGGAGGAGAACTTGGTAGGCTTGTTTTGAATGTTCATTTAACTGATTAGTTTATAGGTCCCATCTTAAATGAAACTGGGCTTCTTAATTTTGCGTTAAGACTGTGAAGAACCCAAAAGAAAGATTGTGTCTGAAATATTTGGTACATTATTGTGTGTGCAAGCGCGCGTGTGTTCTACATGGGTATATCACGGCTTACACGTGGGTGTTGGACACCAGCGGTAGTCTGTTCTGTTCTCTTCCAACTGTGGGTGGTCCTTAGGGATTGAACTCTGGATCATGAGGCTTGGCAGCAGTGATCTTTACACCTCACTGTCCCTGAAGATTTGTTTTTGATTCTAACGTTTGTTTACAGAAAAAGTTAAGAAGTTCCTGCAAGAGTTTTATTATGATGATGAACTTGGAAAGAAGCAGTTCAAGTATGGGACCCAGTTGGTAAGTCCCAGGGTTGGTTATGGGGAGTTGGGGTGGAATGCGAGAACTTACAGGGGTGGCCTACCGTGTTACAGCAAGTTTGGCTATTGGAGAATGGCTTGACTTTGGTTGTTTTGTAGAAAGATTTTTACTTCTATTTAGGTGTGGGTTTTGTCTTTTTCTTGACTATTATACTTATTTGTATATGTGTGGAATTATATGGATATGCTATAGCAAGTGTGGAGGTTTAACGGACAATTGTTGGAGGTCCATTTTCCTACCTTGTAGGTTCTGGGATCAAACTCAGTTAGTTCTTCAGGCTGGTTGGCAAGTACCTGTTGAGCCGTCTCTTCCATTCCTAGCTATTGGTTTTTAGAGATACTGTTTGTGCAGCCCGGAGTGGCTTCAAGAACACCTGTGTGGTTAAATAGCTGGGGTTGGCTTTGAGCTCCTGATCCTCCTGTCTTGTGCATCCCACCATGCTAGACTGAGTGGCTAGTTTAACAGAGTACTAGCCTGATACGTGGGTATGACACCACGTTCATAAAAACTAAAAATGTTTTTAGGAGTCAGGAAGTTCTTTTCAGAGCTGAGAAGTATCTCTACTGTGTTTCCTCTCTAGGGGATGGCCATGACTTAGATGAGCTTTTGTGGGTGAGGTAAGCCTGATCCTAAAGATTACTGTTTCTTCCTTGCCTCAGGTTCATCTGGCTCATCGGGAACAAGTGGCATTATACGTGGACCTAGATGACGTAGCTGAAGATGACCCTGAGTTGGTCGACTCAATTTGCGAGAATGCCAAGCGCTACTCAAAGCTGTTTGCTGATGTTGTGCAAGAGCTTCTGCCTGAGTACAAGGAGAAGGAGGTAGATTGCTGGCTTCTGAGTTCTCCTGCCTGGTTTTCCCCTGTACTCTTCTTTTTCTCTCCTGCCTCTCATGTTCCCTCTCTTTAGGTGGTGAGTAAAGATGTCCTGGATGTGTACATTGAGCACCGGCTGATGATGGAGCAGCGGAGCAGAGACCCTGGAGCAGTCCGGAACCCTCAAAACCAATATCCTTCTGAACTCATGCGTAGATTGTGAGTGTCTTTGTGGGTAAGGCTGGGGGCTTGTTCTCCAAGACCTTGCTGACAAATGTTTCCTTCTCTTAGTGAGTTGTATTTCCAAGGCCCAAGTAGCAGCAAGCCTCGAGTGATCCGGGAAGTACGGGCTGATTCTGTGGGGAAATTGGTAACTGTGCGTGGGATCGTCACTCGTGTCTCTGAAGTCAAGCCCCGAATGGTGGTAGCCACATACACTTGTGATCAGTGTGGGGCAGAGACTTACCAACCGGTATGTATACAGTAGGGAATAGGAAAATACTTGTCTGGGTTCATTGTATCTGTCATTTTCTCTCTGACTGTTGTAAAAATTGTTGCAGTATCCATTCTTAATTCTTTGGTAGTGGTCTGATCTCTCTGGTCATTTTATCGGTGTTTTTGTTTAACTCAGAATATTTCAAGGGGTTCTTAATGCCTTCAGAATGTCTCATCACAGCAGAAATGATTCCTATGGTGATAGTAAGGCATTTTTGGTTTCCTATTCCTTTCTCATGTCTAGATCCAATCTCCCACCTTCATGCCTTTGATCATGTGTCCCAGCCAGGAGTGCCAAACCAACCGCTCAGGAGGGCGACTATACCTGCAGACTCGTGGTTCCAAATTTGTTAAATTCCAGGAAATGAAGATTCAAGAACATGTGAGTTTGGGAGATGTGAATCCTGCAGTCAGATAAAAGTGGCAGGAAGAAATATAAGTGAAGAGCTAGGGAGAAGTCATCTATAGTGGGAACAAAGTTAAACTATAAGTTTTTACTCTTGCTTTTAGGCAGGAAGTCAAGAAATGATTTAATTGAAATTTTCAGGTTGAGCTGGGAAGAGATTAAGAGCTCAGCTTCCCTCCTGAAGTCTTAGGACTAGCTGAGTCTCACCATAAAGTGGTCTGTTGGGTCGTGTCCTTATCTGCCTCACTTTGTTTCTCCTTGTCTCATGTTTCTGTCCCCGGATCTCTTAGAGTGATCAAGTTCCTGTGGGAAACATACCTCGTAGCATCACAGTGGTTTTACAAGGAGAAAACACAAGGACTGCTCAGCCTGGGGACCATGTCAGTGTCACTGGTATCTTCTTGCCAATCTTGCGTACAGGATTCCAACAGATGGCACAGGTGAGAGTTTTGAAATGAGGAAATCGTTCCCTTTCGGCCTCATTCACCCACTTACTCTCTTCACCCCCCACAAGGTGGAACTTGTGGTTGTTAGAAAATTCTTAGGGGTTCTGCTGATGACAGTTTAAAGAGAAGCCATTCCCATGCTGCCATTCTTCTGCCCAGGGTTTACTGTCAGAGACCTTTCTGGAAGCCCACCGGATTGTGAAAATGACAAAGAGTGAGGATGATGCAGCTGGTGCCGGAGAACTGAGCAGGGAGGAACTAAAGCAGATTGCAGGTGAGAGGCTGCAAGGTCAAGGTGATAGTTGAGACTTATCCTGGCTTTTGTCCTGGAGTAAATGCTGTGGCTTAACTTTTCACAGAGGAGGATTTCTATGAAAAGCTGGCTGCTTCTATTGCTCCGGAGATCTATGGGCATGAAGATGTGAAGAAAGCGCTGTTGCTGCTCCTAGTGGGTGGTGTAGACCAGTCTCCTCAAGGCATGAAGATCAGGGGTAAGGACAAGAGAGACTTGAAGTTGTTTGGAAGGGTGAAAAGGGATCACATGACCAAATACTCTATAAAGAGGTGAAAAGGGATCACATTACCAAGTGTTTTATAAAGAGGTGAAAAGGGATCACATGACTAAGTGTTCTGTAAAGAGTGGATGATTTGGCTTCATCATGGTTGTCTGTGTCTTAGAAGAAATAGTATGGGGTTTAGGAGGGGAACTAGGTAGACAGCTTGGGTTGAGCATGCCACTTAGGCTTCCTTCCCATTTTCCAGGAAACATCCATATCTGCCTTATGGGAGATCCTGGTGTGGCCAAATCTCAGCTCCTATCATATATTGATCGTCTCGCCCCCCGAAGTGAGTATGGGCAGGAATGGGGCTTAGTGTTTGTTTGAAACACTAAGGCCTCTGGAAGGCCTGGGAAAGTGGTTCCTTGCTTCAACGGTCTGCTGTTTCTCTTTACAGGTCAGTACACAACAGGCCGGGGCTCCTCTGGGGTGGGGCTCACAGCAGCTGTGCTGAGAGACTCTGTGAGTGGGGAACTCACCTTAGAGGGTGGTGCCCTGGTGCTGGCTGACCAAGGTGTGTG